AAAAAAATTTTAATTATTATTTATACAAATTATTGAATTTTTATTTAAAATTCATGTTTGAAAAATTAAAAAATCAAACTAAATCTTTTAAAAATAAATAAAATGAGTTTAAATTAATAAAATTATAATTAAATTGATGATCTTAACCAATTAATTAGTAGAAATAACCTCTAGCTAGAGGGACATGCTCTCTGTTAAAAAATGCCCCAATGGCTAAGGAACTGCTGCTTTTTGCAGAGAATAAGCTCCCATATTCAATATGCTCTAATTGCCAAAGTCAAAATTTTCGAGCACAAAGAGAGTTGCCAGAGTAAAAAATTGCGGCCAAAAGAAAATTGCCAAAAATTAAGAATTTAATTGCTATCTTTTGTTGGTCTAAAATAATCTTAATTTTTAATTTATCTTTCTCAAATTTATTTGTAACAATGACTATATCAAGAAAAAAAATTTTTCGTTTTTGTCAAATTTACTTTTGGTTTATAAATTACAGTAGTGTACTTTTTTCTACAAGAGTAATAATTTTTCTTAGGAAAATGGAATGAGCTAATTAATGAGTATGAAGAGGTAGTGTAAGAGAAGTCTACAGAGTTAAAATAATAATAATAATGAAAGATAATTAATTTAGAATAAATTTTAAATAAAAATATTAATTACTTTATTTTAAATTAAAATTTTTAATTATTTTAAGACTGAGCAGGTGTTAATAAATATTGACAATCGTGATGAATGATAACAAAATTAGACATTTCAAGAACTAAAAAATAAAAGATAAAGTAATTTTAAACTTTTGATGACGCAGAAATTACCTAAATTATATTTTTTAGTCATATTGTTAACTTACCATCTCGGATTCATTTTACTTGTACTGTCCATAGGATAACCATTACATAACAACCAAACAGAACCATAATCCGTTGTGAGGAAATGTCCTGTTAACTGTCTCAAGTTGTCCTCCTTTGCTTACAACCAGAGGGTTCCCTAGGCAATGCAGCACCATGTATTCCTTTTGATACATGATTGCATGTATCAGCATACGAGAAAGTTGAAACTATGAAACAAAATGATTGTTCATACAAGAGCTTTTCAACAATCCCATGCTGGGCACAATACTAGCCGAGACGTTTACATGAGCTTCATCATGACAGCACTGTGGTTTTGACATAGACCATGCCGAGCATGACACTAGCCCAGTAGCATGCCCGTCTAACACAACTATAATTCTAAGGGGCCATGCCCTACCAGTATCTAAGGGCATGATCTATTAGCATCTGAAGTAAATTGTACAACTTTCTAAATTACTGTATGGAATCTGTTATTTAAATGTTGTGTTGACGATAGTAACATGCACAACCCCTAATCATTACAAAGTCAATTTCTCACTAAAACAATATGAAAATTGAAGGATGAAATTCACTGACCCGATTCTCGTAAGTGCACTCGCAGAGTTGAGTATGACAAATGCCTGCTGCCAGACAGTAATCCACACCTGCATCCTCATCGAAGAGAGTTTGTGACAAATACATTGCATATCAAGTGACAACAAGACACAGATGGCCAGCAATACACCTTTAAGGTCCTAAGCAATGCTCCTCACATATTGGTCTAGAGTTGTATTGAATAACTCACACCTACATTAAGCACTGACAAGGGTCATACAGGGGGAAAATTCTATTTAGAACTAAAAATAAGAAATGATGTCTAAGGTAAGAGGTGATAAGGAGTTAAAACAGTGTTTATCATGGTACAATTTATTTGAATTTAGTTGCCTAACTAGCATGCCAGAAACCAAATGTAATAACCTTCTTAAAATGGCTGGAGATGAAAGGGGACTGAGAGACATGCCATGAACATGAATGTCTAACAAGGTAAACTAATCAAATAGTTAACCAAACGACAGAGAAAAGAGGAGTATTTAATTCTCCTCCCTTTGCATCGGTGCCTCTCTACATAAGAAGAAGGTTTTACTGTTATAAAGTACCAGAGAAACATGTCAAGATAATCAATGAAGCCTCTAGAATGACAGGTTTCAAAAAGATGAAAGATCAGATTGAAAAATGCCTGTACCCATTAAACAACATGCAAGCATCCTGATTATGAGATGGTGTTGCCATATTAGAAAATAGAGGGCTGTTTTTCAGACCCATTTGGCCCTAGCATAATCCATTTGTTCTCTTCTTTTTTATTTTTCTTTTTTTTGGCTCATCTCATTCTCTTACCATTTCTGTTTAAATCAAATTCTACATGGAGTATCATCAACTATTGCTTCATACTCATGGTTCTTCACAGTGACATACCACCACTATCATGAATGCCTAATACAAAACAAAAGAAGACAACTAACTACCTATCAGAGGAGTTCAGTAAGAACATCATCGGACACTTCTACTACAAAATTATCAAAATCCATTTGAAGTGCCAATGTAAAGCAGCACAAAACATTATCTATTATTTAACAGAATGCAATAGGTAAAATGCACCATTTAGCAGTAACAACTGAATTGTATCATATCCAGTAACTGACTGATGTCCGTAAGTTGAAACAGAGAATGTACTCACCAAATAATTATGCATTAGTTTACAAGAAAAATATCAAACAGAGAGAATTAATGAGTCACCTGATTGGAGTTCCTGGAGCGTAAAGTGGGTTCTTGACAACATATTCAACATACAAGTTATAAATATACTTCAGTGAATTGCGAAGATCACCAGTTCTAGGATGCGTGACCAAAATGATCTAAACAGAAGTAATAGCATCCCGTCATAATCAGCATTTTTATCACAGATTCAGACAAAAGACTAAAAAATAATAACCTGATAAACCAAAAGTTTATGTACATGATTTCATCTAATACATATCATGAAACTGAAATCTCTAAAACTCTTACAAAGATTCTATCAAATCATCAAGAGTGGACATTATGGGTTTCTAGAACAATTTCACTTGTCAGAGTAATTGGTTATATGGTGATCCCACATAGCAAATCTTCTAATTTTCATAATACGGAAATAAGGGCAAGATCACTTAGTTATTTGAAGCCACACAAACGAACCGAACAGGCTGCTAAAGTTTTCCTAAGTAGTAGCTTCAAACAAATGAAACTGACTTATAAGCGTTTCTGAATACTAGAATTCGGATTTAATGTCATAGATAAACTATATCGGAGAATACACCACAAATCTGAAGTTCCTTTGCTTTGAAATCCTAATGAAAATAAGCACGAATAAGAGTATTGAAATCTCTACAGCAAAAACACATTAAGATTGTAAACTGACCTTAATCCCAGATGGAGACTCTAAGAAACTAAGTTTGTAGGTATTAGTACGAAAGCTGTGAAATGAACATCCTTGTCCAGGTAGCTGTGGAACCCCACGATTTCCTTTCTCAGCACTGCACAATTAGATCCAATCACTGAAACAGAAAAAATCGGAGAAAATGGAAGAAAGCAAAGGTCAATTGCGGAACCTGGTGGGATCCATTTTGGCGGTTAGGGATTTGAGGGAGAAGAGGAGACCGAACATGAGTTTATGGTCTTGCGGAGGATTGAGAGTGTGCAGAGGGCGATTCCACTCCCGGTAGAACAAGCAGACGCCGTCCCTGTTGAAGACGTACATCATGTGCGCGTTGTTCCCCGTCGCCGTCGGAGCAGGAGGCGACGGACTGATCTCCGATCCTCCGAAGAATTGCATTATTTTATTTCTCAGAACAACGTTCTACCAGTTAGTAAATGAAAACAGTGGTTTTACCGCAATATCATGGTTACCGTGATACAACAGGATTTGGAGGTTAGAATGTTCAATGCATATTAATTGGTGTGATATATTATTAAATTAACATAAAATTGTTTTAATATGGTAAATTGTATGTAATTTACCTTATAAAATTATTTAAATGTTTTTAAAAAATAATATAAAAATAAGATTTAAGATAATTAAATAATTTTATAAGGTAAATTGTATATAATTTATATTGTAAAATAATTTTTTTTAAATTAAATGTATAAATATATAATATTATTATAATTGGTAAATTAAAAATAATTTACCTTATAAATATATTACATTGTTTTTAAAAAATAATATAAAAATAAGATTTAA